GAACACAGCCATGCAAACATGACTGCTTCACGGTAGAAACACGAATGAGACAGAGGTAGCCAAGCAAACGACTTTTGTAGAAAGCCTCCCTCTGGTACTGTGGTAATATATTTATCGGCATGTTTGTTTAGACTTAGACAATAGATAGATAGATACATTATTTATAATAATAACTTATTATATAAAGTTTTTTGTTTTAAGTTTGTATAAAAAATTTGAAAGAAAAAACTGCTCCAGTAATGATAAAATTAATATTGGATCAACTGTGAAAACTGCACCCAATTTAATGCAGTGGCTTTCGCTTACTAGAAAGTATTAGCTATTCCTATTACCAGCAAAATGTACTGTGTTAGGTTGACTGGAAGAGATCTCTTTTAGAGATAAGTTCGCCTTTGCTAAGATTGTTATTAACTCATTGTTGTTACTGTATGTTTTAGTGCAATAAAGAATATATATATCCCGATCACGCGGCCAAAGTAGTGGGCAAAGGCTGGTAATTATAAATATATGCTGACATTCTACACGATGCCTGAGACCCATGTCAATTGGAGGGCACGTGATATTATAATTTTTTTCACCACAATAGGCAAGGGAGCGCCCCTCCGTCCGTCTGTCCGTCGCGGGCAGTCCAAAGTTCAATTACCGAGTGTTTGTTGTCAAAATATATGCAGTCCTCGGACCCTCGCCTCGCCGTGTCACCGTCGCATGCTACCGTCGGAATTCTTGACGCGTACTATACAAGTGATCTGTACCTATATATATGTATATCAAATGAGCTTCGAAATTTGATTTTGGAAATTTAAACGAACTACGTGTCTATGGTTATGCATGATTTGTTGATACTTTAATTAAATTAAGATATCATTATAACGTTATGTAAAAAAGTATATATGAATGTGGAGGAAGCGAAAGAGGTTTGTTTAAATCGAAGCATTTGGCGTTCCATTGTTTCTGCCTACCCTAATGGGAGACACGCGTGACAGATATGTATGTATATGTATGTAAAAAAATATAATCTATTATATACACAACTTACATCTACGTGCTATGAATATCAAAAACAAGTCCTTAAAAAATTGCTTAAAGATAACGATATGTTAATTTATTGTCTAATAATTTTTACCCGAGACTTCGTTCGCATAACCAAAATTTATAATAGATAGATAGATTTACTCTTTATTGTTTCCTCTATAGAGATTACAATAGTAAATTTATTATAGATACAAACAATTACAAGAAATGATCACAATGAGAAAACAATGTGCGGACTTATCGCTAAAAGCGATCTCTTCCAGTCATTCCATTATTTATATATAATTTTACCAATTTACAAAGCGAAAGAGGTTTGTTTGAATCGAAACATTTGGCGTTCCATTGTTTCTGCCCACCCTATTGGGAGACAGGCGTGACAGATATGTATGTACGTATGCAATTTTATAATAAATATTTTTTTTTTTTTTTTTTTTTTTTTTTTATATTTATTTATAATAAATAATAATAAACAAACTATTTATAATATTACAAAATATTTATAATATTAATAAGGAATATTGATATCTTACAGAAAAAAGTAATTAAAAATACATTAAAGTTAATCATAAATTCACGTATGAATATAAAAAAATGTTTCACTTCCATTTAGGGTGTTGCTGGAAGAAAACTCTATCAGAGTTAAGCTCGCCTTTGTACTTTTGTTTACCTCTGTCATATTTTTATAACTAATGTGTACAATATAGTACATTACTGCAGCGGCCAGCAACTGAGGCATTGATGGACGAACGTGCAAATGTAGGCCGAGGCGTAGCCGAGACACACATATGTGAGTCCATCAATGCTTAGTTGTGGCCAAGGCTTGTATAGTACTTTTACTTTTTACTTTTTAAGTTTAATGACGAATAACGAACAATAATAATTTATTATGCGCCATAATGTTTCTTTGGTTTTTTTTTCAATAAACAGCTTTCTATTTGCAAGCCAATTCAAAATTTAAATAAAACCTTTTATTAGTTACGTCCTTGGTAGCCATGTTTCGAAATAAAAGGTCATTCCATTTTTAAATTACAGGACAGATATGAGTTTATATAAAAATTTATCTGGCCGCAAAACACGACAGATATGGATTTTCATACAACTTTTGCTGGCTGCTGCCCGCATGTATCAGGCCAGTACGGCAATTTTGATTTATCTCTAAGAAGATTGTCAAAATAATGCTCACATTTCCAAGCATGTTTGAGAAAAAGTATGAAATAAATAAAAAAAAAAAAAAAATCCAACATCAACCACTTTTTACTTTACACTTATTAAACATCTGTTTACGTGTCATTAGACAGTTGGTTATTATCAATCTAACTACGCCACTGGAAGCCATTGAAATGCCAACTAAAATAGCGCAACATTTGAATTAAACACAAAAAAAAATGAGATTTCGTGATCGCGATAACAAAATGTCCGGCGGTTCATTGACAAAGGCTCGAGCGGGCATAGACTACGAGGTGGTTTTTTTCTTTCGACAAGGCAACGATATATAGAATAATACAGCCAAAACACAGGCACTGTACACAATAGAACGTAAGACAGAATGGGGAGTAATATTTTATTGAAAGGCCCTTTTCGATGTGGAGTGTTGTGTAAATAGAATGAGCGGTGAATTCGACTCGAATAATGTGTGCGATATTGCCGCCGTGCGCCACTCAGTTGCTGCTGACGTTACGATATGTAATGTTATGAGATTTGAACTGTTTGTATGCTCTTGTACAGTTCACTTATATGCCCTATATATATATATATATATATATATATATATATATATATATATATATATATATATATATATATATATATATATATATATATATATATATATATATATGACTCGGTAAACGTTGTTTTACCATATACATTATTTCTAAAACTATACATGTAAATATAACGTACTACAATTATTATAGGCATTCCATTGCCACCTTGCAACCCTATTGCGGCATATAAAAATTGCGATTGAACAATCAGGGGTTAATCGTAAAAGCGTAACACTTATAACGCATTTTCAACCGACTTCAAATAAAAGGAGGTTCTCGATTTTTTCTATTTTTTTATGTTTACTAACCTCATGACTCTTCTCATTAGAAAACTTTTCTATACCTATCTGAAGGGATATACTTACTTAAATTAGTCTTATAATACTTTCAATCATTTAGTGAATTAGTTTTTTTTTCAATAGTTTACTTTCTTTCCCGCGGATAACTTAATGGTCGAGGGTTGAGCAGCAGCGTCTCTCAGTAATGTTTTAAACATTACTGAGAGACGCTGCGGTTTCCAATCCGCCTGCCAAACGTGGCAACTACTGGCAAAACCCCCCCAAGGGTAAGGTTTATGTTCAGCAGTGGACAGAAAGGGTGATATGATGATGAAAAAATGATGTATTCTGTTTAGAGGTGCTTGTGTGTCCATAGCCTGAGATTGTGCTCCACTTCTTATCTTCTCACATCTTTCTTCCTCCTTCTCTCAAAATAGCAAATTATATTCAGAGCAGCGGTCACCGAACTCGCGTTGTCTCACACGAGTTGATAATAAAAGCCATTTATTCAATTGAAACGGCTCACTTGTTTAATGGTTTAAGGTCGTATGAGCACGATTCAGGGCAGGGGTTGGATATATTTCGTCGTATATTTTTGAAAAAAAAAAAAAATATATATATATATATATATATATATATATATATATATATATATATATATATATATATATATATATATATATATATATATATATATATATATATATATATATATATATATATATATATATATATATATATATATATATATATATTGCTTAGCAATAAGACCGCCTTTTGTACTACACTATACGTGTTGTTATATACGAAAATTGTTTTAACAAATCATGTTATGTTGGTGCAATAAAGTGTTAAATATATATAATATATATATATATATATATATATATATTATTAGTGTCTGAACGAAATAGAGGAGAAGCCATTTAACACCAAGAGCTCATAGGGAGATAGAATACGTATTACGTAAAATACGTAAAATATTTTTTTTTATACTATTTAGAATGGCAAACAAGCTGACGGCCCACCCGATGGAAAGTGGTAACCGTCGCCTATAGATATGAGCAGTACCATGGACATAACAGAGTATACTGTTTCGCCCATGATACCCCCCATGCGTTGCCATTCCTGAGGACTCAGATGTTATTCCATTCTTTATGCCAGGTTGTTTGTAAGAGATAGCTTTCAACGATAAGCCCGCCTTTTGTATATGCACATTCTGTATAAATACTCCTTGTATACATCTCTACTGTCGCAATAAAGAGTTTATTATTATTATTATTATAAATATACAAATAATATAAATAATATTATGTACCAAATTACATGATGATTGGTGAAGTTGTTGAAGCACCAAGAGGTGTCAAACATGTCGATTGACTTTTTCTTTTATAACACTAGCTATTTCCTATGACTTCGCCCTTATAAATCAGTATTATAATGTGTGCCGTGCTTTAAGTTAGAATATATCCAATTATTGTCATAGTGTACCATATTTTATTAAAATCCGTTTAGTTGTTTTAGCGTGAAGTAGTTCTCGTAATGTCTTTGAAATTTTTGATCAAACGTCAAGTTCGTTTGTAATCGTCTTCATACGTTGATGAACAATGTTCTAATGTAATCTAATTACATAATAAAACCCCAAGTACATAGGTTTTTTTAATGGTTGATAATGAAATGGTAACCTCGCCTGCGTTAACGATATACGCTGGTGGGGCACCAGTGAAAGATGATAGGTGAGAATGAAACGGCAGTTAGCTTATCGTGATATATACACCTGGAATTCAGCACGATAGTTTCCATGGGGGACCTGACAGAGCATATTGCTAGCGATGGGACTGGTAGTCTGCATTACTAACAATCCTTTCCCCCCTAGTACATACGTTGGTGAGTCGAAGTGTGCGTACCTGAGCGGCTGCTTTAGTTTCCAGGCTAATGACGTCCACCTCGGGCGGTATGGGCCACGTCAACAACATGGGCGGGCTGGCGGCGTGCGCCGGACCCGACGCGAAGCCCATGCAGTTCCCCCTGGCGCAGAGGAGGAAGAGGCGGGTGCTGTTCACGCAAGCGCAGGTGAGCACAATTCCTGGTCATATTAATATTTTTTTATTCACCAGACATGAAAGTCCACCTGATACAGGGCTGTAGCTAGACTCAAGTTTAAGGCCTACCTTAAACTTAGGTCTACGGAACTACGGTCTAGTAAGAGAACTTTTTGGTAGGGCGGAAGCAATAATTAAATGACTTCGAAAAGTGAATATGTCTAATGTTCATTGGGTCGTTTATTTTAAGTTAGAGTAATAAGTCTTTTAAGGTAGGGCTATGCCCCCTAATGCCCCCTTCCCCAAGTTGCGGCCATGACCTGATAGTAAATAGCCACCGTAGCCTAAAAAGTGTAAAATATCTCAAGAATTTTAATACCACAATGATGTCAAACAAACATACACAGCCCGTTGGATGATAAATATTTTGTTTTATACCACAAAGGTGGCAAAAAAAGCATAAAGCCTGTTTGATGGTGGTGGTCACCGTAGCCTATGAACACCTGCAATATTAGGGTTATTAGTGCACGTTACTGACCCTGAAGGAAACTTAATATATCCTGTTTAAAGAACCCCATATTGTAATCTCTAGGGAAAGCCACGGAAGGATCATTCTACAGCTTGATCGTTCGCGAGAGGAAATTCCTTTGAAACCGCACTGTACGTGGCCATACAGTGTAGGGTATTGGACATAGGTGACATCAACACGTGGACATTTCCGACCTTAAAATAATCTTATTTAATACAGTTGCATTCCACCTTATGATAATCGTACAATATATTACACACGTTACAGAATACATAACAAAATATGCACCTTGTTAGACATAGCAACCTGAAGAGAGAAAGACCTAGTAGATATTCGTCAATAGAATAATAGAATTACCAAAGGGAGACTTTGTACAAAAGTCGTTTGCTTGGCACCTCGGTCCCATTCGTGTTTCTACCGTGAAGCAATTGTTTGCATGGCTGTGTTTCGGTTTGGAGTGTGGGATATGGCAGTTTACAGGGTACAGAGGAATAACACCCGAATCCTCAGAAATGGCAACACATGGGGGGTATCATGGGCGAAACAGTATACTCTGTTATGTCCATGCTACTGCACTTGTCTATAGGCGACGGTTATCGCTTTCCATGAGGTGGGCCGTCAGCTCGTTTGCCATTCTAAGTTGTATAAAAAAAACTTTAATGGCATGTAGATTTAGAATTGCCGTGTGGTTCCCACGTAGAATAGGCCGTCTCTATCTCTCCCGTGGATATCATAAAAAGCGACTAAGGGAATTTAAAGGTTGAGAGATGTGTAGCAGCGTCCCTCTTAAAATACCACCAGAAGCCTAACTGCCAATAGGGAAAAACAGATTTAGGGGAGGAGAAGGAGGAGATTCAGCAGTGGACAGTTCACGGCTGAAATGTTGATAAGCATGATGAGAGCTCAAATTACGGCGCCGAGCTTAGTTTTACCGCTATATAATATAACAGCCCATTAATTTCCCACTAGTGGGCATGAATGATGTTAAATATATATCTATTATGTTTGGATGCAGATATATCTATACGCTGCCGATATACAGTCTATGTGTAGGTAACGGCGCGAACTTTTTGTTCACTTAGCCCCTAACAAATTCCGTATTTGCGCCCCTCAGTTGGGGGAGTCTTTATTTGCCGATCATTTTACAAATAAATACCCGTCCGGGAGCTTACCTGCAATAATTCGCAGCTTAAAGATGCCCATTCACGGTACGACAAGTCGCGATTGCGATTCGGCTGCTGTACGTATTTATGCATCGCTACTTCAACCGTAAATTATCCGCTTTTGAATATTAATGTTCCCTTAGACAGTCCTGAACTACGTCTACTGTCTCCATGTAACAGATTTTAGGTTATAACTCCATCAAGTGAGTGTCCTACGTCTTACATTGCGTTTGCTTGTACGGGGTTGCCACTCGAGTGCTTTCTACAAATGGTTGTCAGTTCTTAGAGCTGTATGACTCACCCATTATCACTTTAGCTTGTTTGTCTTTTTATGTTGTGGCCTATCTAATTACTGTTAATCCATAATTTTCACCAATATGACTACTTTAAATTAAGCCGATTTATTTTCTACTAGCTGTTCCCCACAGCTTTGTTCATATCAACTGATTCATATAACTTACTCGTGTACCAAAAGAATTTAAATCTGTCTGTTTAAACGTGATAGAGTAATAAACATAAAAATTTTTTTACAAACTTTCACAATTATAATATTAGTAGGATTTCCAAGACAAAAAAAAAACAAACTTTTCTATTTTCTAGTAATAACAAGTGGAGAATAGATTTTTTTAGAATAGATGTTTCTAAAATATCTCAATAGATATTAGTGTCGTACCGTGAATAGTTCGCCTTGTTAGGGGAGATTTTCCTGATCGCGTCAAGCGTGAGAGTTTTATTGTGCCCCCATCGCCATGGTAACTCGGCCACGTTATACATTTAACCTCAGAGCAGTGCTGATGATGAGAAGTCACTGCAATCATATATACCTATCTATATATCTACGTAGCTTTTTTTTTTAATACAACATAGCAATGGCAAACAAGCTGACGGCCCACCTGATGGAAAATGGTAACCGTCGCCTATAGATATGAGCAGTACCATGGAAGTAATAGAGTATAATAGGACAGAGGTGCCCAAGCTATCGAGTATTGGACAAAGTCTCCCTCTGACTCCGTTTCTGAAGAACCTCATGCTGTAGTCTTTTAGAAAAACCTCGACAGGGAGCTCATGTCACAAACTGAGCGTTCATGGGAGGAAACATATCTGAAGCGTGTAGCGGTTCTAATGCTCGCAATATAGTATCAGGTCGACCTCCACGCGGTTCCTCCTAGAAACCACCGTAATTCGTAATGATTTCGTCACGATAGGCTAACTAATCTGCTTTCATCCTCACCTATCATCACACACTGATGTCTCAGCAAAGTATACCAATTGCTTGCGGGGTTGCCATTCCATTACCTATACATAAGTATAATAAAATTGTAGAGATAGAATGTTTGTACATAGAAAAAAACGCTAAAGTTTATAAAAGTCAGATTTTTTCAAAATCTTTTGTTTCTCTGTCTGTTTGTCTGTTTGTACGGATTAATCTCCGAAAATGTTGGACCGATTTAAATGAAATTTTGCATAGTGGCACCTTACACCCCCGGTCAATATTTTAGATACAATTAATCACGGAAAATTAAAAAGTTCCCGTAGAATAGTTAAAAAACTATAGTAACTTATACAGCTTAGTTTACAACCTACTTAGGTAAAGTAATTTTGACCTAAGACAAAGAGTGAGAACGACACGTCATTTGTTAATTTTGGTACAGTATTCCCCGACATGATAAATAGGCAGGTACAGGGGGGAAAAGGATTGTTAGTATTGGAGACTAAGAATCCAATTGCTAGCAATATACCCAACCAGGTCGACCTCCTCGCGGTTCCCCCTGGAAACTATCATGGTTAATTCCTGATGAATTCATCATGATGGGCTAACTGGCCTGTTTTCATTCTCATCTATCACCCTTCACTGGTGCTCCGCCAGCGTATTCCGTTAGCGCAGGCGGGGTTACCATACCATTTTCACCCATAAAAAAAAAATGGGTATTAGCTAGTAATCAATAAAAAAAAAAAACAAACCATAAACAGCGTTTGTATCTATGGACGAAAAGAAATACAATCCATTAGCCATTAACCTGTAACGAAATCCGAAACAAAGCAATCTACAGTTACAAATAAACTTATATATCTATATATATTACAATATATAACCAAATTACATGAACGCAAGCTATTTAATTGCGAGGCGGGGTCGCCCCCGCCCCCTGCCTGCCGGTGGCTCAGCCCCGCCCCTCGCCCCTGGGGGCTCAGTATAGGAAGGCAGACTGTACCTACTTATAGTTGATGTAATTAATTCTATTCCGGAATATTCCTCGTAGCCAGTTGTTTAATACGACAGCCGCGTCGCCGTCATCGTCATGGCGCGCATCATTTGTTTTTTTGGATTTTAACAAAAGGGCTTTTTTTTATTGGATGAAAATGGAATGATAACCCCGCCTGCGCTAACGGGATACGCTGGCGGAGCACCAGTGAAGGGTGATAGATGAGAATGAAAACAGGCCAGTTAGCCCATCATGATGAATTCATCAGGAATTAACCATGATAGTTTCCAGGGGGAACCGCGAGGAGGTCGACCTGGTTGGGTATATTGTTAGCAATGGGATTCTTAGTCTCCATTACTAACAATCCCTTTTCCCAAACAAAAGGGGTTTACTTTTTTTATATACTTGTAAATTAATAAATTAATGACATTGCTGTGTCCTTCCAAGGGGGTTGGAGTTCATGTCGATTCTTTACCTTTAATAACTTAAAACCTATATTGTTACAACATGAAATAGCAATAAATGATTGAATTGAATTTAAACAAATGCATCAACTGCTAACTGTCCACTCCTAAATATAGGCTCCCCCTTGGAGGGTTTTACCAGTAGATGCCACACTTTGCTGGCGTATTGGTAACCGCAGTAAGACTTTGAAGATGTTTTAAGAGGGACGCTGCTGCCCATCACTCGCCCTCCCTTAGTCGCCTCTTACGACACCCACGGGGAAGGAAGGGGTGGCCCATTCTATGTCGGTACCACACACAGCTAATTATATACTTATGTACCTATAAATAGATAGTACTACTTTCAAATTTCATAATATTACATTTAAGTAAAAAAAAAACAAACAAAAATAAAAATTACAAGAATAAAATCATATTGATCCTACACCTAATCCATACACTATTCTGTTAATTAAATTCACTGTTATATAAAATATTAAATAATAGTGAATGTAATAAATACACACATTGTATTTTATCTATATTTCTTACTACCTACATTTTTTTAAAATTTTTTTTTACGGAATTTCGCGGCTCACTTTTGGCCACAACAGAATATCAGTGTTTCGCTCTTTTAAGGGCGAAGCAATAAACTGAGTTGTGACCATTTTGTGTTACTATGGTACAGGCATTAAGGGAAACATTTTTTACTTGTTTTATGTATTTTGTATTTTATTTTTTGTATTTTATATTTGTTTTTTTTACTGTGCACCTGTGTCTCTTATATAAATTATCTATCTATTTTCAATCTACTTAAAAGAACCTACCAATCTACTTAAAGCAGGCTCTCAGTTCGAATATATATTTTTTGTTTTGTTTTATACAACTTAGAATGGCAAACAAGCTGACGGCCCACCTGATGGAAAGTGGTAACCGTCGCCTATACACATGAGCAGTATCATGCACATAACAGAGGATACTGTTTCGCCCATGATACCCCCCATGCGTTGCCAGCTTGAACTGTACATGACTTCTAGAAGTTTACAAATATTCCATTTTGCAGGTGTACGAGTTAGAACGAAGGTTTAAGCAGCAGAAGTACCTATCAGCGCCTGAGAGGGAGCATCTCGCCTCGCTCATACATTTAACGCCAACACAGGTGAGTAACATACATCTGATAGACACAGTGTCTTATACTGTTTAATGCATAAGCCACTTAACGTTTTGCTGTCCCTCTAGAAAATAAGGGGAGGCTTTTTTTTTATGGGTGAAAATGGTATGGTAACCCCGCCTGCGCTAACGGGATACGCTGGCGGAGCGCCAGTGAAGGGTGATAGATGAGAATGAAAACAGGCCAGTTAGCCCATCATGATGAATTCATCAGGACGTACAACAGGCGAGCTTAACTCTGTAAGAGTTCTCTTCCAGCAAACCCTGAGTGGAAAGCATTAATTACCAGAGGGCAGTGTGCGTACAATAATAGGAGGAAAAAGTACAGTTGTAAGAAATAATAAATATTTGACATATATACAAAGTAACTCATATAATTAATAATAAAATACATACATATATGTATATAATAATACATATACATATATACATAAACATAAAATATCTCTTCACATACAAAATAAGTACATATACCTACATTACATATATATACATAGACATAATAGGTTTATGAGGAATTATATTTTTTTTTTATAAAATTGTGTATTTAAAAAATCTGCCGCTATTGTTGTGTCGTATATAGGCCACGGCCTAATAGCTAAATAGTAATAAAGTAACATAAAGGTTTTACGTTTTTTTCTCTAAGACACCATAAAGGAACACAATTTAAAACAGCGTTAAAAATTTAGTTTTACGATAACATAGATTACGTAGAGTTGTCGTAGACGTCGTAGCACTTCGTAGACCTACGCAGTATTCTAATCTGTCGATATGTTAAGTTACCAAACGGAATAAATATTGCTTTATTAAAAGAATACTGAATGACATGAACAAATAGTTAAAATAATGAGGTTGTTATTGTAAAATAATTAGGTATATCATGGTTGCATTCAATAATTAAATTCGTTGCTTAGTTATCTTTAAATAAATGAAGTAGTTCTTATTGTATACTGTTTTTTTTTATTTTCAATAAAAGGAGAATTGTTAATATACTCAGGAGTGGTAACACATTTAGGGGGAAAAGGTGGCACAATATAAGCTTATATATAATATAATTATTATGGACGACAGTCGCCACTTTCTATCGGGAGGCCGTTGTGTGTGTTAAAAGTATATTTTTTATTATTTTATGAGTTTGAAATTTCATTTAATTCTTTTCATTGCCAACATTATAAATTGAATAATATTCGAATGACGAATACTGTTTGACTGACAAATTATTCGATTAATTAGATTATAATTATTTTATATAAATACATCATATAACGCTGTGTGTTGCGGGTATTAATGCGACACCGGTCACACACCAATAAATTAGCAACGTAAAATAGGGCGTCTCCAAGCGACAGACGAACGGACGCCAAGCACCGGGCGCCGGTCGCCGGGCGGCCGCCTGAAGCAACTGTTACCGACACAGACAACATAAATCACAATATAATCGGTTTCATAACCACCGCCTCCGGCTATGACCCGAACCCGGAACATCCCCACATTCAATTACGGAACAAAACGCATCCGATAAAACACGGGATGAGGGCGCGAAACGCCTCCGGCGGCCATGTTGTACCACGTTCGTTTGTTATTTCTACCACTGGCAACACGCAAGACACGTTCGGGGTTAGCTCGTTATGTTGGCATCTTGTTTCACGCGCCGCCGACGGCACCAGTGGATCGGGGAGCTTCGCTTTGATTCTCGAGGGCCGTCGCGAATTTTCCTTGTTTGATTTTTTACCGTGATCTCGAGTGGTGTCTTCAAATTAGTGAATACTCATACACATATCTGCATTACGCGTCAACTGCTACGGGCGACTGTTCCTATATTATATACGTACAGTGTACATATAGAATTTGTACGCCGTTATTAATATCTGTCAACGGCACGCGACCCGTTTTCCCACATTCGCGAGCGTTCCTAAATTCAAATCCTTCATAACAAAGACTCAATAATCTCGGCCGTGTCAATATAAATTTCATAAACTCGCTGTGTAACCCCAACAAAGGGCCGCAAACATCCATGAATAATCTCCATTTTGAGGGTGTCAACACCATTTACGGCGTCGCGTTTGAATTCGCGCCAAAACAAACGTCAAACTGTACCGGCGGGAACAATGTACGCGGGCGGCGGGCGGCGGGTGTGACGGAGGCGCGCGCTAATTCGGCAATTATAATGCGGTGCATTGTCGTCATGTTGATTGCTCGGTGAAGCTCGCCCGGGAGCAGCATTGTTTCTAATACAGGTTGATTGATCCGTCAATTAACGTAATCGCACTAGATATAAACAAGTTCCTATATCACCCACGGCTAATTAAACTAGGTAATTACACCGTAAAGATCAGTTTCATTCTAATTGACCAAATTATTTTGTTATATTAATATATTTTATATAATATATTAATATAACTAGAGTTGATTTAGTAAGCTAATATGCAAGTCAAAATTGCAGTAAGTGGTTACCCAAAAAAAAGTATGTTTTCCACAAAAAAAAAAACCGACTTAGATTGTGGCATAGCCAGATATTTTAATTTAAAAACTAAACTACAATGCTGATTTTAATAAAATTTCTATAGGACCGATTTGAAAGTATATTCTTTCAGATAAAAATAGAATTTTCCAAATCAGTTTACAACTGGCAGAGTTATGAGGTAATAAACTCACAAAAAATACAAACGAATCCTGTATAATCCATACTTGAAACTACTACAAAATCTGTACTTGAAATTTTCATCTTATTATATTCATCGATAGGTACGTAAATCTAAACGGGGATTATTTTACTGTCAAGTTGTTTATTAATCTAGTTGCAATATTTTTTATATAAAAAAAAAACCTTTTATCGGTAACGGTCGAAACACCCTCGAGTTGTCACTGTCAGCCGCACTCGGACGCCGCGCCGGCCGCTGGCCGCGGCGCGTGCTCCATACTTCTATGCTAGGAATTAATCGCAATCTATTGGCTTACCAGATTTTTTACCGTGTTTATAATTGAATAGAATTAATATTTAGTTTAAAATGATATTTTCCAGATACCACGTACATTTTTTTTAATAAAATACCTATCAATCCAATTCAAGAAATAAACAAGTTGTTAGGGTAAAAATATTTTTATAGTAAAATGTTACATTATAGTAAAATAATGAAATACATGTTTATTGTAAATTATTTTTTTATTTTTTCTCATTTTAAGTATCTAATTGCATTAATGTACTTACGTAGGCACTTGTAACAAGATGTTACAGTAAATAAGACCAGTTAAATTTTGTATTACTCGAATTTGCAATTTTAATATTTTGCATTGATTTCTTAGTCACAGTTTTATTAAACATCGCCTGTTTTATTTAGTTTATCTCTAATTATCCTAAAAGCCATTTCGACGTTTAGAAATCAAACTCTTGTTAGGTTGAACGCATTCCGTTCTTGCATATTCATCGCAAAGTTAAAATAGAGAGAGACTGCGCAATAAAGGCTAAGTTCGAGCCCAGAGCTCGATAGCGGCATGGCAGCCACAATATTCCGCAGTATTTGACGTCGGAATGCAAACAGAGGGCTCGCGTTTCGTTATTTAACTTAAGTAAATTTCTATGTTCGCGACGCACCGCCACTGTTGATACTGCGACTCCCCGAGCTGACTGCCCGCTTCCATTTTCAAATTCGAATTTCGAAAAGGATTTCTTTTTAATATCAATATTGGAGACATTTAGCTGATAATAATCGCTACTGATATTTGCATTTGGGTATAATAGCCATACCCAGAGTCAAGTAATAGTATACTCTGTTATGTCCATGGTACTGCTCATGTCTATAGGCTACGGTTACCACTTTCCATCAGGTGGACCGTCAGCTTGTTTGCCATTCTAAGTTGTATAAAAAAAAAAACTTTGTTCTAATACAGATAAAGTATGTAATCTATGCAACCAGTTAATTGAATTTAAAAACTTTACAGTATAGAGTGTCTAGATCTATTGTGATACCTGTCGATAACGATATTTTGGATAAGAACATATTAAATATAGGTACGTTGTTGTACAATAATATGAATATTCATTTATATTTGTGTTTTAATATTTCTAGGCGTGAATGGCGTGAGCGTGAATGAATATTCTAGTTTCGTCAATACAAAGGCAGGGCCGACTCTTGAATAATTTAATAATTACTTGCTCTATGGTTAGCGTGTGATAATAGATTAAGAATATTCACATTCTATTCATTTCATTTCGAGATATCATAAAAAGCTACTAAATAAAGGCATGTTTGTTATTTATCGGATTTAAATGAAATTTGATATACAGTTGAATACCTGTGTTTTAATGTTTTATTGTTTTTTTTTTTGTAATAAAAAAAACAAAGATGACCTTTATCTTGAATAAACACATAATAAAATTTTTCTTCTTGATTCATACGGGAACGTAATAAGTTGATTTAAAGTTTACTTACTTTAATTAAATTTAATATAACTTTAACTAGGAAAGCCGTAGTACGTCGGTCATTGAACTTGTAAGATCTAATAAAAATTAACAAAAGCTTATACAAGTAGTGCAACACAATCATCCCTCCCATTGTCTCTGGTCACGACGAGCACGGCGGGCTGTTGTCTCTGGCTCTTGGCAGCCGGATGCGGCGTATGCGGGTGCATGATTTTAATGGGAGCAATAAGATAATGGTGCTCCATGGACCGTTAGACAATGACGCTGTCTGTCACACTGCTGATCGCTAACGTTAGGCAGTAGTCATTGATGACCAATAAATAGAAATAAATTTAATTAACATAAACTTAATTTTAGGCGTGTTGAATGGTATTTTAAGTAAAGCAGTAAGCAGTTTCAGTCAAGACATAATCCTCGAATTACTATCCGTGTATTGATATAAATAAAAGACTTTTCCCAAAGACAAAAAAGTTCGTTTATAAAAATAAAAAAATATGTCTATGTTAATAAAGCGGAAATGTTTCAACGCCCCAATTTCTGTAGCCAGACGGACTTGAAATTTTTTTTTA